GTATCTAAAGGGCTAATACCAACTTTAGATGAACGAAGAAGTCTGATAATATGGTCTTTACTTCCTAATCTATGCATCGTTACCATAGTCTCTTCTCGAGTTTTTAAACAATTTTCGTACATATCATGAGTAAGGTTCTTTTTGACTACTACCTTTTGTACTCCTTTAGCTCTTCGATCTGTTTTCCCATCAGCTAGAATATAACTATAAAGCTTAGGTCTTGGTCCGCAAAATTTCCACATAGCAGTACCACAACTTTCATCCTTAAATTTACCAGGAACTTTTTTATTCAACATAATCGTTTCTTTTCCGAGAGCTTGGTATATAGGATGTTCTGGCTTATAATCGCTAAAATCGAAATGTTCTTGCATCTCTACCATATCTTTATAGACATTCTCAGTTCGGATAAGTAAGATAAGTGAATCAGTATCAGTGTATACCACCTCTACATTATCTCCATAACGTGCTTTCATAATATTGTAATAGAAATTATACATGGTAATCTTACTTTCATCAAAGACTGACATACCGATAAAGATTGGTTTACTAAGTCTAGCTTTTGATTGATGACGAGAAATACCTACTAAATTCTCTGCTAAAATTCTATGCGACTTGTAACTAGGATCAGCTACTAATTTTTTAAACTTTTTCGATTCTTCTTCTGGTCTAACGAAATCTATTCTTTGATATTTGCGTACATTCTCTACAGTCTTTCCATAGTTTGCATTACCAAGGAGCTTATACATATTTTTCTCGAAATCGTTCTTAGCTAAAGCACGGGATCTTGCTAATTCTAATTCTTCCATAAAAGGCTTCATCCATGGGCTTTGGTTAAATTCTATAGCTCGATGAATTTTAGTAAGTATCATTCCCTGCTTTATATAAAATTGTAATGCTCGATAATGAACTATATACTTTTTCTTATTATTGAGATTTGGAACGAATTTCTTAGTCTTTGTATAATGTTTTAGTTCCTTAATAAGATCCTGGCTGTACTTACTCATTTCCTCTTTAGAAATTTTGATATTTTCAGGAGCTAAAGGGTATGAAGTATGAGCTTTGTGTAATTTATATGGATAGTCAAGATCAACTTCCAAAATATAGCCTTTATCTACATCGTCAGGGATTTCGCACTTGCTAATTTTATTAAAAAGCTCTGGAGTTTCTTCTGGTGTTATCCATCTATGTCCGCCTGTTGGCATGGCTTGCATCATTGCTCCAGTATATAATGCATTGGCATCAACGTATAATAGCCAAGTATAGAGTTTTTTCATGGCTTCTTCCGAGTTTGGATCAAAATCGGGGCATTGAGGATTATTAGCTTTAACTTGGCGATTACTTACCATTGTAATACCTCCTCGGATACCTTTCTCACAGAATAGATACATATTATCATCAGTAAATAACTCGATTTCTTGTCCTGTAGTTTTATATAGAGCATCTTCTGCAAAAGAAGGGAGAGATACATAATGGGATATATCAAGACCAAATTTACCTTTCATTAATTTTCGAAATCCTTCTAAACAATCTGCTAATAATAGTACATCAAGATTAAGATAAAAGTCGTGATAATCTCTGAATGTTTTCATATCAAAGAATTTCCATACCTCTTGTGCGATTTTATAAGCTTTTTCTGAGCATTTAGATTTGTTTAGAATGCTGTCAAATCCCTCAATAGGAGGAAGAGAAGTAGTATCCATTTTTTCCGGTGTATTAAACCAATCATATGGAAAAGGGGCTTTACGGAATACTAAGTCATCCCTTCCTTTTGGCCCGTGTTCTCTAGTTATAGGAAATCTCTCTGGATGAGCAAAACATCTATTAGAATCGATTCTATAAAGATGACCGGGCTTTTTACATGGTAAGTCTAAAGGTTTTCCATCCTCATCCACTTCTTCTTCACACGGTTCAGCTCCTAAGTTAGATATATGAGAATCAAGGGATCCAGGCATAAGTTGTAAAGAATCCATGTATCTTTGATTTCCAATATCGAGACTGAGATAACTTTCCATGTTATGTGGGATTGCACTTATCTTTTCTTTGCTTACTCGCCCCATAGCCTGGGAAATAAGATGAGCATCGAACTTACCTAAATTATGGAAACGAATTGGTAATTTAAACTCCTCTGGTTTGATTCGTAATTGGAGATTACAAATACTATGGGCTGGTCCTCTATAGTTACCTGTAATATGGTCATGATCTCGGACTTTTTTCAGGTTATCCTCTCCAAATGGTTTATTACAGATCCAACATTCTTTTGCTGAATTGTACTGATTCTCCTCCTCTTTCGTTAATTTCTTCATTGGCTCTCCTGGCCATCTGAGCCGCTGGTAAATCCGTGATATAAGACGATACATTTTTCCTACATCAATTCCTAATGGTTTTGTTTTATGCATTTCATAAATTTTCTTTAACAAATGTCTCACACCTACTACCCGATTAATCTCCCCCTTTTTTTCATCCTTATCGCTACTTAATTTCCAGGATTTAAAGTGTTCACAGATAGAAAGAAGTTCGAGATGCATTCCTTTCGGTAAAAATCTAGTATTAGTTAGTTCACTTAATTTTGAAGCGCTATCCCGGATTATATGCCCGCTTGCAAGAAAGTCTTGACATTGTTTATTTTCCTCTTCCATTGCTTTAATAAAATCTCCGGCTGGATCATCACCTCTAATTTTTACCGGTGCTTTGGTTTTACCATCACTACGCCTAATTATATAATCAAATGATATAACTTTATGTTCTTGGATTGCTGTCGTTTTCGATCCTTGATTTTTTTCAATCAGAGTGGAGAGAGTTTCAGCATCTGCTGAGGCAGTAAAAGGTGCATCTAACATTCGCTCATATCTTGTGAATTTATATATATTCTTGTCTACTGTCGGCATTACCGTTCTTTGGACTGGTGTATTAATTCCTTCACAATCTTCCATATGCTGGGCGTCAAGTTTTGGATCATGCGTTCGGTGAGAAACACACCAGTCGCAGACATAGAGCTTGGCACAATGTTTTGTGGTGTATCCAGCTAACTTACCTAATCCATCGCGTCCCTGGATTAGACAGTAATGTTGTGCTGGTTCCCTGGTTTTTGGATCCTCTCCTGTTATCAGAAGAAGCCGAATCAGTCTGCGTTGATTGCAAATTCCTTCTTTGTGCTTGCATTTGTCGTGTACTGTGTCTTTAATGGCTATTCTTATTGGTTGCAATCTTCTTTCACTCCAACCATAAATTGATATAGCGAGATCGGGGTTCCGTTTTTCAAACTTAGACATAGTATGTTCGTCTGCCTTTACAGGAAATTGAATACCCTCGAAATTTAACTTACCTAAATGAGGGTTTTGATTTTGTGGTCTTTCTCGATGACAGGGAGCGGGATATAAATCCTCAATAATACATCTTTCAAAGCATCGATTATCCTCATTTTTGATATTAATAATTCCATTCTTTTTTGTTGACATTCCTTTCGGTAATGGTATATGTGAGCTAGCTGTTAATGGAACGAATATCGGCATTTCGATATTTACTTCTTCTGATGCTTCAAAAACCCAGCCTGATCCTTCTACTGTATATGTCTCTACTCGGTTTTCTATGTCGCTAATTAATTCATCAACAATTCTTGGTATATCCGTTTTGCATGCTACTACTACAGCTTTATTTTTGAATGGAACTTCTTTATACGCTTTTTCACCGTTATCTTCTTCTATTTTATCATCAAATAACCCCTGCTGATAATTTGCTGACCTTGACAATTTCCCTACAAGACATAATCGAGTTTTGAAACCGTGCGTTAAATCAAAGCGTTCATTAAAGATTTTTGTTATCTGTTCCCTAAGTGTGCTGAAAGTGTTTATTGGATCATGAGAGTATATGTTTTCGTTTCCTATTTGTACCCGATAATGTGCATCCAATAATTCAGCGCCGGAATTAATAACATTTGTTAATTCGAATTTTGGAACATCAGTGGAGCTGCTCGCTTGGCCGTGGGGTTGCTGTGGTACCACTGCGTTAGAATTTTCTATTGGTGTGGGATCATCAGGTTTCACACCTAAATATTTTAAAAATTCCATCCATGATTCTTCTAAATCGGAATCATTTTTCTCCTGGTTAACTTCTGGAATTAGCTCGGAGGTTAAGCTATTCTCATTGTCTGCTCTAATTTTTGTCTCTGGACTCGGTTGAGGTGCTGGCATTGACTCCTGAGGACGACATGGATTTTTTCGATTAAGGTGTGCACGGAGCATTTGAGGAGATGAGCATTCACGTCCGCATCGCTCACAAGTACGATTTTTCTTATCTTTTCTAACCATGGTGATATCTAATAAGTTTGTTATATTTTAGTTATAAATCTTTTGTTCAATTAATTATTTGACGTATTGGAAATAATTAATCGGGTATTATGTGTCCCAGTAACTATCACAGGTTGCGCCTTAGCCGTCTTGCAAATGGTAATTCTTCGGTAAACCTATAATTTTTAACTAATTAGCTACTAATTCGTTGAAATTTTTTATTAGACTTATCTGTACTTCACGCTGCCGTACGGCCTTTATGTGTGTCCCTGTTAACTAATTCAGCGAAATTTTTATTAACCTTATCTTGCTTGCCTGCGCTATCGCGCGTGCCCACGCTTCGCGCGGCTATTGCAAGCTAACTCGGTTGAAAATTTTATTAGATTTATAATTTTTAACAATTTAACACCTAATACGAGGAAATATTTTATTAGACTTATTATGATGAATTACTTGAAATAAAAGCCAAAAATTTTACATCTAGTTTTTTTACCCTTAATTTTAGTTAATTTGTCGAACTTTTTTATTAACCTTATCTTGCTTGCCTGCGCTATCGCGCGTGCCGCGCGCTTCGCGCGGCTATTGCAAGCTAACTCGGTTAAAATAAGTCTAATATATATACTGTCCTAAAACATACATAAACATACTACT